TGTATATTTAAGGCAGGGTACTTATCATCGAGACGCCTATCATCATTATCAGTTGATCGTGACCTCCACCCAGCCCTTGTGTGTGTGTGTGTGTGTGTGTGTGTGTGTGTGTGTGTGTGTGTGTGTGTGTGAGCACCCATCAATCATCCGATATTGATACCTCTAATGTATATCTATCTATCGAACAAAGACACCAACAACTCTCTCTCTCTCTCTCTCTCTCTCTCTCTCTCTCTCTCTCTCTCTCTCTCTCTCTCTCTCTCTCTCTCTCTCTGTGTGTGTGTGAGCACCCACCAATCATGTGATATGGATACCTCACTTTCTATTTATTGAAATGTAAGAAGAAAAAGAAGAGAAAGAAAACAAAGCAATTGAGACAATGAAAAATGGGAAAAAAACAAAAACTATGTAGTATGTACTTATGCACACCACACACACAACACCGTGACAGCAAACACGTGGGGATCGGTGACAATGCGGAGACTAAACCCGAAACGCACGAGGGCTTCCCGCAACAGGCGAGATCGCTCCCGGGCCAACACCATGCAGACTATGGGTACCGCATATGCCTATCCGTGGGTTGCAAGCTATGGCAGATAATGGACGGCGTTCCAAGCCCCAGGCAACAAGTGCAAAAAAGGGGGGGGGAGAGAGAGAGAGAGAGAGAGAGAGAGAGAGAGAGAGAGAGAGAGAGAGAGAGAGAGAGAGAGAGATGGGGGGACCCTTGTCGATGCTGCGCTACAACGGCCAAGCAGCGTAGCCCACTCACGGCCAACGATGGTGAGAGTGACGCAAATCTCTTTTGCTGGACCAAGCACAATAATCACTTTGGCGCGGACATTTTTTTCTTTGTGTTTTTTTTTTTCACTTCAAGTTTCTTGTTTTCGGTATTTCGTGGCCCTATTTCGCACTGTGGCCACCCATAGTTTGAACCAGTCAGGTTAATATTCGTTACTTGCATGTGCAGTGATTTGGGCTTTGCCTGGATGGAGTATGGCCTCAGAATTGCGGGCTCAACACATCGGTAAAAGATAGTCGACATGCCCTCACCTAACCTGCTTTGGCCCTACCAGAAGGCCAATTTCGGCGAGTAGGGGATAGGTGGTTTAAAACTTGAAAAAAAAAGAGAAGAACATTTGCAATCACTTCATATATAACTACATATTCACAAATCCCATGGTTTAGGAGGTTGCAAAATTTACAACGCAAATATATTTTTTTGGTCGAAGGGGACACCCTGCAATTGTGAATGGGCCATAAATTTTGTCGATATGGAAAAAAGGTTAGTAGTTATTTCCATGGTAACCGTCCGGATGTCCGGACCGGGTTCCAGACAGTTCGGTGTCCAGTCCTTATGTCCGGATGGAGGCCCCTGGGGCAAAAAAAACGCCAGGACATTTATCGGGTCCTGGCCGCCCTCGATAAATAACGGGGTGATTTTTCAGTGTCGTTTCACCCCACCGGGCAGGGCCTAGAGGTCTGGACACAAGACACTGCAGGTTTTTGGGGTGGCGAGTTTCACACAGGCCCGAGCAATTTCAAAGCGGCCGTTTTGACGTGGTGCCTGCCGCTGCTGCCCGTTGGAGAGAGAGAGAGAGAGAGAGAGAGAACACTGCCAGTGTTGCCAGTCTGAAGACTCTGACGTTCTAAATTGAACTGCAAAGTTCGACCTTTTAAGTTATATATGAAGTTATGAACTTAAATTACTAAATCCAAAGTTCAAAGTTCAAATTAATCATACTTTAAAATATATATATATATATATATATATATATATATGTTTCTCTAGTCTTGTGTCTGCTTTGCACTGTAACAGTTTGGAACTTCGCTTGTCTGCTAGTTAAATGTGCTTGTTGATTTGCTGCAAGACGTGTGCTCTGCTGCCTGAGATACAAAGTGCAAAGCAGGCAATTGTCTGCCAACACCCCCGCCCACTTCCCCCCTCCTTTTTTTTTTTTGGTCCGGACATTTTTGCACCCTCGGCATCGGTCCGGTGTCGGGACTAGTGGGTCTCGAATAACTTCCCATCACTCGAGAGATTGAATACAGACAATTTGTGCACAACAGAGAAATCTGGAGTGAGGAAGCAGGAGAGAGAAAAGACAAAGGATTAGGCCGCAGAAGGGAGTGATGCCCTGAGGAGAGAACCATAGGAAGAAAGAACTAGCGACGGCAAGCAAGCGAGCGCAAGAACAGGGGCACATAGGACATAGCAGAGGCCGGGAGGGTCATCAGAATGCAATAAGACTAAGGCCAAAGGGTCCTTTGAACTAGCAATTGCAGCGCGACAGGAATAAGGGAATGAGGAAGTCGAGGGATGGGCGGCCAAAAGCCGCGGGAAGCCAGGAAATGAGGAACAACGTAGGGGCCACCTACGAGAGCCTCGGAGCGGAGGCCCACGACCAAGAAGATCGGCATGCACAAGGTGCAAGGAAAAACAAAGGAGAGGGGTCGCTATGGGGCGACAAGGCGCCCAAGGGGCATGGGACACCTCGGGGAAAGGCACCCGGGGCCACGTGGGACTAAGTAAAAATAATGGCGTCCGGGGCGAAATGTGTCGGGGACCGCCGACGGGACTAAGTGTCGGAGATCACCGGCGGGACTGTGTCGAGGGCCACCGACGGGACTAAGTGCCGGGAACCACCGACGGGACAAGTGGCGGGGACATGTGAAAGTCCCGAGAAAAAACGACGGCACCACATGAGGGAAAAATAATAAATGCAAGGTGCACCGTCAAGATCGACATCTTGACGGCCAAGAATATTAGCACCACTAGTGCAAGTACTAGTGGTGACAAACGGGAAGGCCAAAAGGAAAAGAAAAAGCAAAGAAAACTGAAGTGGGAGGCATGGGAGCAATCCGAAAAATCTCGGATCAGCCTCCCCCAAGAAAATAGAGCCAAATAAGACCCCATGTGAAAAATAGCCCTCCGGGAGAAAATCGGAGTAAGAGGGACCATTGTGGGAGAAGTGTAGGAGTAAAAGGAGGTTCCCATGAGCATGGGAAGGCCATTATTGCAGTCCGAGAAATAACGGACTGCACCTTGGGCATAGGGAGGGCCAAAACTAAGAGGAAGAGACTAGAAAAGAGCCTTAACGGCCACTTGACATTTCGCATGCTAGAAAAAAAAAATAAAAATAAAAAAATGGAGGAGAATAAGACAAAAAGAGTGAGAGGGAGTGAGTGAGTTGGCCGTCAGTAGGGACTGCCATAGGTAGGGACTGGCAGGTCTCTACTGTCCAAGAAAGGAGGAGNAAAAAAAAAAAAAAAAAAAAAAAAAGCCTTAACGGTAAAAAACGGTCACTTGAGGAGATTCATCCGTGACCAGATTCATTCTGGAATATGACGGTTACAAACAACTTGGATTTTCTTTGATTTTACAGAGAAAATCAAAGAAAATCAAGGCCTTATGCAACCGGAATAAAACGGAATACATGCATGAGGAGAAACACATGTTTTAGGTGCATCCGGAGCCAAAATCAAGGCCGGATGCACTTGGGAATTGACCGTTTTTTTTTCTTTTTAGTAGGGGCTAGTTATAGGGCATTGGGGCTAAGGAATTAACCCCCATTGCAGTCCGAGTTGCAACGGACTGCATGGGGGAGAGAAAACACATGTTTTAGGTGCATCCGGAACCAATATTGAGCCCGAATGCACTAGAAAATTTAACGCTTCATTTTCTTTCAACGTGGGGCAAGTTGTGGGGCTGTGGGTATGGAAAACAGCCACGACTGCAGTTCGAGAAATTACGGACTGCATGGGGGATGCCAAGGCCAAAGGGGAATGGGCTACGGCAAGCCCGGAAGGCTAGAAAGAAGCAATTTCGAAAAAGGGCAAGTAAAGACGGTAAACGGCAACCGTGAGATGAGATCTCACGGCCTAGAAAAATCGGCACACGTGTAGAAATGATGGGACCACCAAGGGCAATGGACCCCAAAAAAATAAAAACGGAACGCCGTCCGGAATGTTGTCGGGGACCAAATGGGTCCAAATAATAAAAAAAACGGAAAACGGGACACGCGCCGGCGGGATCACCGGCGGGACAAAGAAATGGAGCTAGCATGTAGGAAAATGGCGGGGACTTGGGATGTCCCAAGGGAACCATGAGCAAACACAAGGAATAATTGTGCAAGAAAGCGGCACCGTCGAGATCGAGGATTTAAACGGTGGAAAATATTAGCACCACTAGTGCAAGTACTAGTGGGAGCAAGTGGGAAAGTCATGGGAGAAAAAAAAGTGAAATAAGGATGTTGAGAAGGCTGCCCAGCAGTCCGGGATATCTCGGACTAGCAAGGCATAAGAAAATAGAGCCTTGAGAGACTCAACATGAGAAAAAAGTTGCCCTTAAAAATTGG